GGCTCCCGCTCACCACTGGAGACTCCCCTTGCCGCTCTCACCCTAGGAGCCAGAGATCTCCCAGCAGGGCTGGTGAGTGCGGCCAGGGAGGGGGGAAGGGTGTGGTGGAGTGAGTGTCTGGGAGATGTGCGGGGGGTGCTGGGCTGTGAGGGTGTGGAGGTCGCTGGGCAGTGGGGGAGGTTTGTGTGTTTTGGGCTGCTAGGCAGTGGGGGCCTGTTGGGGGGTGCTGGGCAGTGAGGGAGATCTGTGTGTGTTAGGGCACTGGGGGTCTGTGTGGGGCATTGTTTAGTTGTGGTGGTGGGGCTGTGGGGAAGGGCACTGGGAGGGAGGGAGGAGAAATCTGTGTGTATTGGGAAACTAGCGAGTGGGGGGTTCTATGTGGGGTGCTGATGTGTATTAAGAGTTACCAGCTGGATTGAGGACTGATAGATCTGGACAGAGTTTATATTGAATGGGCAAATGAAAAAGATCGCAGGGAAAAACAGTAAGGTTAGTTTAGCCGTCTTTGACATTTCGACCAATAAGGAAATTAAAATGCATTTGTAATTACATATCTTATTCTTGGCTGATAATCATTTATTGATATTTTTTAGGAAAATTTTCAATTTAAAACACAAACTTTTGTTTTTCTTTTACTTATGATGTCTATCTGAAAACCCATATAAATTGACACAAATTGCAAATTAAAACTTTTTAAATGTATAAGCATTTTACTCACTTGGGCGCATTTGCCTCATGGCACACAAATTTGAACTCTGCTTCAAAAATTTGCACAGAAGAAATTTTTCTTTTACCTTAATTATACTATCTTAGGAACCCGCTATAACATAGTACCAAGGTTCAATACAAAGTCATATAAAAGTTATACAAAAATGCATAATGCAGAGATTTATCTACAACTGCATTGATTGACTGCTGTGTGCAGTAATATAGTGACCCCTGGACCTACAGGCTTCCACACACCGTCAGTGCCTTGCTAGTGTGCCATGCGCCGTGAGATATCTCTTCTCTTTGTGTGTGACTGTGAGTGTTTCCCTTGTGTGTGAATTTATTCAACAAAATCTTGAGCCTCATAATGGATACCATGAGTGAAAAGAAAAAGAGAAAAATAGAATCAGAGCACAGAGTTTTCAACACTGAATGGACGAATAAATACTTATATACTATTTCCAAAGACAAAATACTGTGCCTCGTGTGTCGCAAAACGTTAGCCGTTCCGAAAGAATACAACCTTCGGTGGCACTTTGAAACTAAGCATCCCAATCTCGCCAAATTGAGCTCAAATGAAAAAATAATTAAAGCAGCCAGTTTAGCGAAAAACCTTAGTAGAGAACAGCAAATTTTCAAGAAAGTGAGCACTGAGAACGATACAGTTACTAAAGTAAGCTTTAAAATTTCTAAGGAAATTGCTGCTGCTGGGAAATGCTTGACAGAAGGCGAGTTATTAAAAAAGTGTATGTTGATTGCTGTATCTGAGTTATGTCCAGAAAAGAGGGGAATATTTGAGAATGTCAGTCTATCACGCATGACTGTACGGAGAAGAATAGCTGACATTTCTACCAATTTAAGTGATCAGTTAAAGCAGAGAGTCAGTGAATTCTGCTTTTACTCCCTAGCTATGGATGAAAGCACCGATTTAAAAGACACCGCCCAACTTCTTATTTTTATTAGAGGTATTGATAAAAACTTTGAAATTACTGAAGAACTTGCTGGCATGTGCTCCATGACGGGTCGCACAACCGGAAAAGAAATCTCCAGTGAAGTGATAAAGTGCACGAATGATAAGTCGGGATTAGATTTCACAAACTTGGTGGCCATTTGTACTGATCAAGTATCAGAGGGGTAGCCGTGTTAGTCTGAATCTGTAAAAAGCAACAGTGTACTGATGGTGCTCCAGCTATGTGCCAAAAAAATGTTGGAGCAGTTACTCTTCTTGAAGAATTTATCGGAAGAGAAATAACCAAACATCACTGCATTATGCATCAGCAGGTTTTGTGTAGCAAAGTCTTAAAATTTGAGCATGTAATGTCAGTGGTAGTTTCCATTGTAAACTACATCCGTTCTAGAGGACTAAAACATAGGACATTTCGAGCCTTTCTTGAAGGGGTAGACACCGAGTGCAATGACTTAATCTACCATACAGAAGTGAGGTGGTTGAGTCGAGGAAGAGTGCTCCAGCGTTTTGTTGCTTTGAAAGAGGAGGTAGCAAAATTCCTAGAAAATGGGCCAATAAAATTCCCAGAGCTTGAAAATGAGTCCTGGAATCAAGATCTCTTTTTCTTTTGTGATATTACAGCACACCTGAATGATCTCAACATTCAACTTCAGGGAAAAAATCAACTTATATTTCAAATGTGTGCAGCAGTGAAAGCTTTCAAAATGAAATTGAAACTTTTCAGAAGTCAGCTGTCAAAAGGTGAAATGTGTCACTTTCCCACTTGTGCACAGCGTATCCCTCAGCACAAACACGCCGAGTTAGGAGAAAAATACGCAATGCACATCATTCTTTTGATTGAAGAATTTGACAGAAGACTTACTTTGTCTAAAGAAGAAGATGTCCAGTTGAAGCTGATTGAAGATCCCTTTTCTGTGGATCCAGAGGAAGTGCCACTAGATTTGCAGTTGGAGGTTATTGAACTTCAGTGTTCAGCAGTTTACCGAAATAAGCACAGAGAAAGCAGCTTGTGGGACTTCTACAAAAGTCTGGACAATGAAGTTGCACTGAAAATGTTCAGCATTTTTGGACGCACTTACATATGTGAACAAACATTTTCCATCATGAACATGAATAAAAACAAGCAACGTTCTTCTCTGACTGACGACCATTTGGAAGACATTATGAAAATATCCACTTCAAATATGACCCCCAAATGCGACAAGCTTGTTGTCGAAAAGAGATGTAATATTTCTCATTAAATTTGCAAGGTAATTATGAAAAGTACAAATGTTTTCTTTCAACGGAACAGATGTTTTTAATTTTTCCATGATTAATAAAAAAATTTAAAATAATTTAAAAAATTGTTTGATTTAATTGAAAAATTCTTAATAAAGTATCACACACCCTCCCCCCCAAACCTTAGCTGTTTCGGCGGGGCGGTGCTGGGGAAGGAGGGTTTGTTTCCGCGGGGCTGGGCGGTGCTGGGGGGGGGGGGTTTTCCCGGGGGCCGGGGGGTTTCGGCCCTCAGCTGTTTTCTTTGGAGTAATATGGCCCTCGCCGCTTTACGAGTTGTGCAGGCCTGGTCTATAAGGTGCCACAGGACTCTTTGTCGCTTTTGATTAAAACCTGCTGCTCATGGAGATTGTTTGCCTCTGTCGTCTCTCTGGTAAATGCCCAGCATAAGAAAGTCAATGCGGGACAGCTGGTGCAAGCTGGTTAGCTGGCACAGGCAGACAGTCACATGTACTGGCACAAAATCATTGGGCTCCACAGCCTGCTCGCCTCCAGGTGCGCTCCTTTGGAAATTTCGCCTTGGCTCTGGATTCTTGGCTGCACCCCATGTGGTTGGCTGCTGAGTGTAGCTCCTTGCATCTGCATTTGCTTTTTCCTTGGGAAATGAGCTGTAGACTCAAACATCACGTGTTCCCTGTTGTTACAGATCTAAGTGCCCAAGTTAGTGGCGCAAATTCAAAATGCAACTCTGCTGTAAGTGCGTGGAAGAGACAGGTACAGAATTCAGGCCTCTTGATTGCAAATTATGTATCTTAATCATATGACCGTCCTTGTCCCTTGAGAGCATATGAAAGGACTACGGACATTTTGTGACTCTTTCAGCTAGGGATCGTGATGTAAGGGCTGTGAATTCTCAGGCTTCGGGTCACATGTTGGTTAATAGGCTGGTGGGTTCTGCAACTCAGGGCACAGGAACCTCAGGGGTGGAAAGTCTGCCCACAATGGAGTTTAGAGGCACAAGGTGGGGCCTACATCATCCAGCTGTGACCCAAAAGTGGGTGGCAGTGGCTGGATGTAGTGTGGCCAGGAGACATGTTGATTCAGTGCAGCCCGGGGGGGCCTCCTCTGCTATCAGAGCTCCTAAGGGGCCCAAACTGTGACTTTAAACTGCTTTCTCCAGATAGACAACATCCCCAGGAGGTTCAGTGCAGATGCCCCCCTACCCTCCCTGAGAATGAATCCCCATCCCTTGTCTGCAGCTGCATCAGTGGGCCCGGATTGAACCCTCGGTCAGTGCTAGTGGTGTGTGTGGCCTGTTCATGTGCATTGTGAGGTGGTTGTCTCTTCCTCTGAAGACCTGGATTTGGCCACTGTTAGAGAGAGGCTACAGACAGGAGGGATCAATGGCCCTATATCATATGGCAAGAGGTAGGAAACTAGATCAAACCACTGGTCCGATTAGTCTGATCTGGTATCTTGATGGACCAATGGCTTGTACTGCCAAATGAGAGCTCAGTCTGCCTCTGTCTTGGCTTTTATGCTATGCACTTTGCTGTAGTGTACAAGTGCCTATGGGGAAAGGCGTCTATCCCAGGGCAAACGCGTGCATGACCCTGTGCCTGTACACAGTACTGACTGGGGCAAGGTGTTGAGGTCAGTTTGCCTGAATCCTGTTTATTCATGTGATCCTTCACAGGCTGCTCCCCGGGCTCCGACATCAAGCAGCTTTGACCTCCAGATGAAATTTGTGTGTGGCCAATGCTGGAGGAACGGGCAGGTGGTGGAGCCAGACAAGGACCTCAAGTACTGTAGTGCCAAAGCCCGCCACTGGTGAGTGCTCTTGTCCTCTCTTCTGTCTCCCCCTAGCCTGAGTGCAGGATTTCCCCCTGCCATATATTCATTCTCCAGTGCTTTGTACAGGCTACTTTGAAATATCTGTGAGGGCTTCCATCTTGGCAGACTATTCCCTTGGGGAGACTCTTCCAGTTTTATAGACATCACCATTAGCAAGCATTCTTCTTCGAGTGCTTGTTCGTGTCGATTCCATTCTAGGTGTGTACACACCCACGTGCCTGGTCGTCAGATATGTTTGCCTTAGCAGTATCCATAGGATCGGCTGTGGTACCCCCTTGAGTGTCGCGCTCATACATCGGTATATCAGGTGCCACCAGCCCTACGCCCTCTCCGTTACCTTTTACTGCCCGGGGTGGTTAGTTGGAGCGCCTTTCCTTGCATAGCAAGGGCTCGCAGTTACGTTTCTTCTGACTTCGAGCCTTAGGGCCTTTAAATAGTTGTTCATAGTAGTTGGTGTTAAGTAGCTGTTAAGTGTAGTTAGAAGTTAGAGTCCCAGCGGGGACTTCGCCCCAGGCGGGGCATGCCCCAGTTTCCAGGGTTTAAGCCCTGCATGGACTGTAACAGGCCTATGCCTGTAAGTGACCCCCACAGCAGCTGCCTCAAGTGTTTGGAATCACATGTGAAGGACAAGAGTCATATTTGTAAAAAACTTTGACCCAGGACTCAGAGTGGGATATTTGTTCGCGGGCTCTCCTCATGGAGGCAGCCCTTCATCTTCTTCCGAGCCATCCCGCCAAGACTCACCTAGTACCTCGGCCTCAGTGCACCCCTGGCACCGCTCCCCATCGCCGGTGCCCAGAAAGAAAAAGAAGCAGCACAGCTCCCCGGCACCGGGCAAGAAGGGCCATGGGGCATCTGGCAAGGACCCAGTTTGGGCCACTCTGGAGCCATGTGGATGTGCCCTCCCGTGCCACAGGAAGCGGCAAAGGCTCCCTACAAGGGCAAGCCAACCGCTAAGACCCCTCGGGGCAGTGGAGCTCCACCAATGCCCCGAGACAAGGCAGCGCTCTCCATCTCCGCGCTGCAGATCTCTGGCATCACAGCCCAGATCCTCTGGGGCTCGCCCGCAGTCATCGGCACCACGATCGCGGTCCCCACCATCTCAACGCGGATCGCCTGTGGGAGGAGCCGGTCTCCATTCTACCGTCACCGTTCACCCTCCCGCCAGTCATCCTCTCGGCACACATCTTGGTTGCCTGCCCCATGGGAGTACTCCCCATCGCGATTCCGGTCCCCTCGATACCGGCACCGATCCCCCCCCACTCCAGACACCGGTCTCCAGCGGCAACGGTCAGCAGGCAGACACAGGCAGCGACGGCCCCGCTGTGGTCACCGGAAGGGGATTCCTCCGGCACGGAAGGGCAGTTCAGCCCCTTGTCAAGACCCCACCAGCGCGTTTGGGCACTTGAGGCTGCATTGACATCTACGGCGCTGCCTTGGCAGCATGGCCAGTGGCCAGTGCAGTGGCCTTATAGGAGTGCGTGGGGCATGTCAGTAATGACGATGACCCTTTTGCACTGCTCATCTGCCGCCACCTCGGAGCAACAGCTGGCGGCACTGGGTTCGGTGCATGAGACCCGCTTGGAGGTTGGGGTAGAGGAGACAGCATCCACCCCAAAAAAAAAACCCTCCCCAATGGGGGGATGATGCCCTGGAGCCTCCCCCAGCGGTACAGTTGTTGTCCTCATCCCTGGATGAGGCTGTTGCGGGACCCTCGAGGGCCAGCCCGCCAGACAGTTTTAAAAGAACACCAAGCCCTGCTTCGACGGGTAACCGAGAACTTGGGCCTAGAAGTGGAGGAGATGGCCGAGCAGGTGAACACCTTGTTCAATATCTTCTCAGCCTCTACCTTGGCACGGGGTCCTGAAAATTGCCAAGGCCCTCTGGCAAATCCCATCGTCCATCCCTCCCACTCCAAAAGGGCCAGAAAGAAGTACTTCGTCCTGGCCAAAGGGTTCAAGTACCTTCATACCCATCCACCTCCGGGCTTTCTGGTTGTCTCTGTGGCCAACGAAAAGGACAAGCAGGGACACACCAGTTCAACTCCCAAAAATAAAAAGGCCAAAAGACGACCTTTTTGGGAGAAAAATTTATTCAACATCCAGCCTGCAATTCCAGGTGGCGAACCAACAGGCCCTCTCTGTCAGGTACAGTTTTAACTTGTGGGACTTTCTCCATAAGTTCAAGGAGTTTCTCCCTTAGGGTTTGGCCCAGGAATTTGGCACCCTGGTGAAGGAGGCACCCTGATGGCGGACTCAGTAGCTAGGGTGGTTGCGGTGGTCATGAGGCGCAGCTCCTGGCTTCATCTCTCGGGACAGGCCGGCGGTCTGCAGACCTCGATCCAGGACCTCCCATTTGATGAGAAGAGTCTCTCTTCGAAGCAGACTGCTGCGAGGCTGTACATGTTAAAGGACACTTGGGCCACCCTTCGCTCGCTGGGCATGCATATGCTGCAGTCTGCAAGGAAGCAGTTCCAGCTGCCCCCATCACCAAGGCCTTGGCAGCCTCATCAGGGGTGTGCAAGGAGAAGGGATAGAGACACAAGCTTTAGTCGTCGCCGCCTGCTCACCCGCACAGCCCAGCCTGGCAAAGCGTCCCAGGGCCAGAAACACTCATTTTGAAGGTGCGCTCGAGAGCAATGCCCCAGTCAATTCCCTGGATCCACCTTGTTCTTTCCTCAACCGTCTCCATCCCTACCGTTCAGTCGCGGGTCACCTCAGACTGCTGGGTGCTGGACATAATATCTCAGGGCTATACTCTGCAACTTTCTTGCCCCACCTGAAGGGCAGGGTGGTGCAGATCCTGACGGACAATACTGCCGCGATGTATTACATCAACAGGCACGGCGGTGCCAGGTCTTCGGCCCTTGTCAAGAAACTCTCCACCTTTGGGATTTTTGTGTGTGGCATGCCATTCATCTGGTAGCTGCGCATATGCCCAGAACCAGGAACGTCATAACAGATCACCTTAGCAGGACTTTCTCGTCTCGCCATGAGTGGTCACTCCATCTGGAGGTGGTCAGCATAATCTTCCAGAACAGAAAATGCCACATGTTCTGTTCGATCCGGGGGATGCACAGGGACTCCTTATCAGACGCCTTTCTCATTCCATGGTCGGGGGCGCTGATGTGTGCTTTCCTGCCAGTGCCGTTGGTTCACAGGGTCCCTGTGAAGATCAAGCAAGACAGTGCAAGAATGATCCTAATAGCCCCTGCGTGGCCTCGCCAGCACTGGTTCGGCACGTTGTTGAGCCTTTCAGTAGCCACCCTGCTGCAGCTGTCCCTCTGGCTGGATCTGCTGTCCCAGAACCACGGCAGCCTTTTGTGCCCGAACCTGGTGGCACTGCACTTGACGGCTTGGCTACCGCATGGCTAAGCGCGGACAAACAGGCAGGTCTTTCTGAGTAGCAGGAAACCCTCCATCAAAGCGACTTACCTGGCCAAATGGAAAAGGTTCACGTGCTGGGCTTCTGAACGGCGTATCTGAGCCGAGGAGGCCCCACTGCAGGAGATCCTGGATTATCTGCTGCACCTCAAACTCCAAGGTTTGTCCCTGTCATCGATCAAGATCCACCTGGCTGCTATCTTGGCTTTCCATCCTCCATTCCAAGGCAGGTCGATCTTCGCTCGTGACGTGACAGCATGGTTTTGAAAGGTCTGGAGTGTGTCTACCCGCACATCCAGGATCCCATCCCTCCCTGGGACCTGAATCTCATGCTGTTGAGGTGGCCGGGGCCTCCTTTTGGACCTCTGGCTTCCTGCTGTCTCCTGCTTCTCTCCTGGAGGATTTCGTTCCTGGTTGTGATAATGTCAGCCCACGGGGTGTCCGAGATCAGGGCCCTTATTTCAGAGCTGTCCTATACGGTCTTCTACAAGGATACAGTCCAGTTACGACCGCACCTGGCGTTTCGACCTAAGGTAGTTTCCCAGTTTCATACTGGCCAGGACATATATTTACCCGTCTTCTTTCCAAAGCCTCATACGTCAGATAAGGAGCCCAGGCTACACACCCTGGACGTCAGGAGGGCGCTGGCCTTCTACGTAGATAGAACGAAGCTGTTCCGTAAGTCAGCGCAGTTGTTCGTTGTGGTGGCAGACAGAATGAAAGGTCGCCCAGTGTCTGCTCAGAGGATTTTGTCCTGGATCATGGCCTGCTTCCACCACTGCTATGAACTGCTGAAGGTGCCTCCGCCAGCAGTTGTGACGGCACACTCGGCTAGAGCGCAAGTGTCAGCGGCCTTCCTGGCACAGGTGCCAATCCAAGAGATCTGTAGGGCCGCTACCCGGTCGCCTGTCCACACGTTCACGTCTCAGTGTGTGCTTACCCAGCAGGCTCGAGATGACGCTGGCTTTGGCAGAACAGTGCTGCAAGCTGCAAGACCTTGAACTCTGAGCCCAGCTCCATTGATACTGCTTGTGAGTCACCTAGAATGGAATCGACACAAGCAAGCACTCGAAGAAAAAACGGTTGCCTACCTTTTTGTAACTGATGTTCTTCGAGATGTTGCTCATTTCCATTCCATTACCCGCCCTCCTACCCCTCTGTCGGAGTAGTTGGCAAGAAGGAACTCAGAGGGCATAGGGCCGGCGGCACCTAATATACCAGCGCATGAGTGCGGCACTCAAGGGGGTGCCACAGCCGGCCCTACAGATACCGCTAAGGCAAAAATATCTGACGACTGTGCATGTGGTTGCCACACACCTAGAATGGAATGGACATGAGCAACACATCTCGAAGAACAACAGTTATGAAAAGGTAGGTAACTGGGTTTTTTCTGCAGTCAGGTTCTATTATTTATCATTTGTATGCAGGGCCCTCTTTGGGCATGGCACTTTGCAGAGAGAAAAAAGACACAGTCCCCTCTCTAGGAGCTTACAAGCTAGGCTAGAGGGAGCCTCCATTTTCCCTTTGTTCAATTCATCCCATCTCTCCTAGCTATACTCAGCTGGAGCACCCAAAACAGTTCTTCTCCAAACTTGTTTCCAGACATCAGCTGTTTGTAGATGGCAATCCTATCGCTATTGGTTGTAATTTTAGCCATGGTATGTACTTTACATCCTTTTTAAATGAGCCCTTTGATCATTTTTGTTGCATTTCTCTGAAAGGCATCCAATTTGTCTGCCTTGTTCTGTGAATGTGGTGATCTAGGAGAGGTCTCAGTGCGACATAGAGAGGGACGGTCACCTTCCCTTCCTGGGATGTCATTTCTCTGTCTGTGCTGCATTGGCCTGGATTTTTTTTGCCACAGTACCCTCTTCAGATCCTTTTGTAGGACATTGTGGAAGAGTGATCTGCCTAACTGTAGGATCTTGTTCACAGTGCCGTGTCTGTGTGTAAGGACCTGCAGTTCTACAGCAGCTCTCGCCCTGAAGGGTCCCAAAGTGTGTGGTTTTTTTTGTTTTTTGTTTTTTTTTACAGACTGTATAGACCAGGACCGGTTCAGCCACCCCTGGGGATGGAATGTGGGAGGTGTTCAGTACCTCACAAGAAGTGGGGGGAGCAGGGGGAAGCAGGAGGAAAGGCTCCCTTTTGACTCACCCTGTAGAGCTACAGTCTGTTCTTCTAGTGTGTCTGCTGTAGTTACCTGTAGCCCATGGCTACCAGCCAGTGCGAGGGGCAGGCTGAGTGATGGTTCTGGTGTGGTGATGGGATATTTTAAACCCCCTTTGCTTCCCCTCCTGCCTTTTTGTTTTAATTCCCCCTCTCCCCGTTTCCTAGCTGGACAAAGGAGCGTCGCGTCCTGCTGGTGATGTCCAAAGCAAAGAGGAAGTGGGTGTCCGTCCGACCGCTGCCTTCCATCCGCAACTTCCCACAGCAATATGATGTAAGCCCTGTACCCCTTCGCGGCTCCAGAATCCTCCCCCTTCCTATCGCAACGCTTCATGCACCGAGCATGGAGCCAGTGCTTCGATGCTCTTGGGGCAGGTGCTTTGTAAATGGACAGGTGGGTAGGTAGACGTAGACCCAGGTGAAAAGCAGAGACCAACTGAAAACGAAGAGAGATCAGTTCCATCTCAAACAGCCAGCTCCGTGGCATGGTATGAAAGGACCCCTGCAACCAGGTTTTTGACACTGCTCTTAACACCATCACCACCTATAGGACTGGCCGGCTCAGGGGATGGGGATGGGGTCTAGCCCTTCTCCTTGGGTCACGCCTTTCCAGGCCAGGTCACAGGTGGGGCAGTAGGCACAGGATAAGCTTGTGTTGTCCCTGCTTTTGCTGTACCTGTTCTGCGGGTAAACCGAGCGCATTAGTCTCCTAGGCTTCCAATCCAGCCACTTCCACCAGTTTTTACAGCTCACTTGAAAGGTGATTTGGAAACAGATATTAAAAAAAAAAAAACACCCCCTAAATTAAAACCCCAGAGCCACGTGAAAAGCTGTGAAGCCCACTCCCAGCTCAGCATGTGATAGGAGGTGGGATAGCGCTCTTCTCCTTTCTGCCTCAGGGGGGGAGGAGATCGGGACAGGCCCCAGCCATGGTTAACGGAGAGCTCCCCTCCCCTCAGTGAAGAGGTGTCTGCCATCTCTTAATCTAGAGCCAGAGGGGAGCCCATGTGAAAATGCTGGGGGTCCCCTTCTCCTGCTCACAGCCAGGGTAGCTATAAAGCACCTGCGACCTCTCAGTCAGTCGGATCACTCAGCTGCTTGAGTGTGTTCTGTTGCCTCACAATAAAAGATTTCCATGTGCTGCCATGGCAGTCGCAGGCGGTGCCTGGGGGAGTGGGAGTTTCTTCCTAGAGCGGCTGCTGACTTCTGGGAAACTGTCCTGGGTTTTTCAGTCTGTTTCTAATCAGATTTTGTCTCTCCCCTCTCAGCCCAAAGCCAAAATCATGTGTGTGTTGGCGGCGGGAGGGGGCGATAGGTCAGACTAAGTTGCTGCTGAGATGTCACCCAGGGGAGATCCCAGCTGTGGGGTGGGGAGAGGGGAAGGGTGTGGACTCGCAGCTTAGCTGGCTTGGGGTTTTTTTGTCTTTAAGATTCCCTGTAGTGCAAAAGGAGGCATGAGCGCTACGGGAAATGGGAGCCAGCGTCTGGCAGAAGAAGTAGCCCTTTGTTTTCTCCACCATGCCTCCATTAAAGAGCCTGTGACAGGGAGGCATGGCCAGGAGAAGGCTAAGGCCTGCCTGTCACGTGGCTCAGCGGGGCTTTTAGAGGAAGGGGAGGTGCCCAGTGGGAGAGCTGCAGAAGGAAGGACCCCTGGGCGGGGGCAGCACACGTGCTCTAGGGCGACAGCTTTTGTTTTGTGAGTCTGTAAACTGTGTCCTGAGAAAAGGGCCTGACGAGAGCCTTGGGCGTGGCTTTGAATTTTTCCTGAGCTCGTGAGGGAGTCATGGACCTGTGGCCCCCAAACGCTGCCGCCGGCACTGATGTCACTGGAGTGTCTGGGGTTTTTTTCCCCTCTTTCCTGTGTAGGTGCATATGTGTGGGTAGTGTTTGCTGGGGAGTGAACCCTTCGGTTTGTTCCCACAGTAGGCAGTGCATGGGCAGCAAGAGTGCAAGCTTCCCACCCCGGCCCTGCTGCTGTCTCTCTCGCTTCCAACGGGTGAGAGAATGGCTACGTCTCCAGTGACGCCTTCAGGCCCTGGCCCTTCTGCTGAGGCTGCAACAAGGGGGTCAGTGTGTGTCAACAGCGGGGGTGGTTTTTGCAAAGTAGACATGCCCTCATCCTCCCCCCCCTCCCCTCCCCGGGCTGCAGTGTCAAAAATCTCTGCATTCAGGTGCTTCCGAAAGGCAATTTCCTTTCTTCATACCATGCCTTGCTCATTTCATGTGGGGCCACATTGCAGCTTCCTGGTGGGTAACAATTAAGGGTCACTGCTGATCTGGGCTGGATTCCAGCCATCAGCTTAGTCAGGGCTAGCTTGACAATTTGCAGGGCCTAAGCTGCTGAAATGGGGGGGAACCCAGCTGTAAGTTTTCTCCACTTCCGGTCCGGTTGCTGGAAGAGGAGACAGGATCTGGGAGGGAGCTGTTTCCTGGTGCTGAAGTGGGAGATAAGGTCAGCCGGTGAGTTGTGAAGGAGGCAGGGCCCCAACCAGCTGCTTGCTTTGGCTGTGCATAAGGACAGCCATGAATGGAGAGGAGCGGCTCTGTATGCCACCCTCCGTTTGCTGACTCTCCTTGGTAGGACTGTTTACAGGGAGAAAGGGGGAGAGTGTGTAACTAGCAAAGGGTGGGCTGGACGTGTGCAGGGAAAGCTCTTTGCAGTTCTTACTAGAGTTTTGTCATTAGGAACTTTTGCTCTGAATCAATCTAAACTCGCCTTGGGCATCTCTCCACTTCCCTCTGATAGCCTCTCCCCCCCCTCAAGACCTTCATCCATCAGGCTGGAGAGGACATGGGTGAGAGTCCCCTTCAGACGCCGCTGCTGGGTTAGCAAAAGTTGCTTTCCACCACCTCACCTGGCTCCATGAGTAACCTTACCTGTAAGCGGGCCAGCCGTGGGCTTGGTGGATAGGTAGTGAGAGGACAGTCACTGAACTCAAGCCTCCTGTACGTTTATACAGAGATCTCATCCCTCAAGTCTTAGGGGACCCAGGGAGAAGAGGCACGAGTGATCAGCAGCACCTGCTCAGTGCCTTTGCTGGTTGGTCTGCCCCTTTCTCTTTCCCTAACCAGAAGGGTCTGGGTGGGGCGGGGGGCTGTGTTTTCTTTTCTGTCTCTTGACAGCTGTGTATCCATGCACAAAATGGCAGGAAGTGCCAGTATGTTGGGAACTGCTCCTTTGCCCACAGCCCTGAGGAGAGAGACATGTGGACCTTCATGAAAGAAAATAAAAGTGAGTGGTGAGATGGGGGCAGGAACAGGGACGCTGAAGAGCACAGGGTGTGTTACGGCTCTTCTCCCCAGCGTCCCAGAGCTGGAAAGGACGTTGAGCACCCCCGCCTTTCCAGCAGGAGGGTGAAATTACTCCAAAAAATGAGGCTCTCAGAGCGTGGGCTAGAGCTGTTCAAACGCCAGCCACGCGCAGCTGCGCAATCACCCTTCCGCCAGCGCACCCGAGTCCTGCACCCAGTGCTAGTCCATTCTCGCCTGCCCGCTCCACAGCTCTGCTCTTCCTCTGCTAGGCTAGCCCTGGCTCCATACACCTCACTCCTGACCTCTGCGCCTGTCCTGGCCTCTCACCTAGTTCTGCTAATGTCCCTCACGCCTAGGCTGCAGCAGTCCCTGCTGATTGTGTGAAAGGTCGTACACAGGTGTGTGAACTTTGTGTGAGGACCCCGTTGGGCAGTGCCCCTTACAACCAAGCTTGTCCTCACTTGTTAATAGTTCTTGGAAATATAGGTGGGCACCACACCCCATGGTCTTGGCCAAATTTCTTCTCTTCCCCTTGCCACCTCACTCTCCCACCAGTGTCATGAGTTGTAGAGCTGGCCAAAATGCTTTGGCTAATGGAAATTTTGCTTAAAAAAATTAATTTGGGGGGGGGGGGGGGTCCAAAACTATTCACAAATTTGGGTCAAATTTGGTGAATAGTTGTGGCCAAAAAAGAATGTCCTCCCTCCACCCCCCGGTCAGTGTTTGGATACTTTGTTTCTGAAGAAAATGTCAGTTTGAATTAATATTTTGTTTAAAAATCACAACATTTGAAACCCAAACAAACTACTACTTTGTTTTGTTTCGTCTCCTGCTTTGCTGCAGCAGGAGGTGAGCTATCCAGTGAGAGGGACCAGGCTCAGATCTGATCTGTAGGTTTCAGAACTCTGCCTCCCTCCCCCAGACCAAGGGAAAGAGATTTCTCTACCCAGCCTCTCACCTGAGGAGGTAACCGCACTGGAGAAGGAGTGTCTGTAACTGAAGGAAATGTGGCGGGGGAGGGCTGCACATTCAGAACACCAGATCTGTACAGGTCCCTTGTTCTGAGTGTGTCCATAGTGGGTGGGTAGGTGAGTTGCCTGGCTGACCTGGCTGATTCCCTCCTCGCAGTATTGGATATGCAGCAGACCTATGACATGTGGCTAAAGAAACACAACCCTGGGAAGCCAGGAGAGGGGACACCACTCACGTCGCGTGAAGGAGAGAAGCAGATCCAGATGCCCACCGACTACGCCGACATCATGGTAATATCTCTCCTCCCTTTCCTCATTCTGACATCTCCCCCTCTTTCCTGTGCTTCCCTGCAGGAGTCTCTTGAGAGGAGACTGTGCTGATTGGAAATCCAGTGAGGTTGGAACGCTCCCTTGGGAAAGAGCCTGTGATCTTTGCCAGCTAGGAGGAGGGCAGCCAGGGTAGCAGTGATGAGGCGGGAGGGCATAGGCCTGGGTCAGCAAGGCTGCTCCAGGACTTTCCTGTCAGTTAAACATGTTTTTATCCAAGAGTCAGCTGAAACTGTATCTTACGCATCAACTCCTGCTTCCTGGGCTCCCGCCCTTCCCTGGAGCCCTGGAACGGCAAAGCCACGGCTGGCCATTTTGAAAAGAATTGGGTTGGGGGTGAGAGATCTGTGGGGTTATAACTGGCCCACCAATGGGTGGGAAGAGAAGTAGGGGGAGAGTGCAGAGGCAACGTACTAATGCGTGGCAGAGGAGAGGTATGGGGAAGGGGGATGGGCAGGCCACTAAGGTCTGGAGAAACCATATCTAATTGCTCCACAATCCCTCCTATGGCTGTTCTAAGGAGTGATACTGGTGGGCTCAGACAAAGAATCCAGTCCTGTCCCCTGTGGCCAGCAGTTTGATGTTCCCAACACTGATATGTCAGGAGAGGGAAGTGCTGGGTGGGGTGGGGAGACCCTGGATGCTGTGGCGGAGAGGGGACATCCCTTCCTCTCCACTCCCCAGTGCTGGGAAGGTCAGCATGGGCACTGCTAATGGGCTGCTCGGTCTGTGCCGGTTAGATGGGATACCACTGCTGGCTGTGTGGGAAGAACAGTAACAGCAAGAAGCAATGGCAGCAACACATCCAGTCAGAGAAGCATAAGGAGAAGGTTTTCACCTCTGACAACGACTCTAGCTGCTGGACCTACCGCTTCCCCATGGGCGAATTCCGGCTCTGTGACAGGTACCGCGTGCGCCACACCTCCGTTCTACACGGGTTCGCTGCCGGTGAAAGGAGAGCAGACCTGGTACCGAGTCGGTCTGCTCCTAAATGGGGAGCCCCAAGGAACTGCAGCTCGGGGGAGTTCTGGGAAGGTCAAAAAGTGGGAGACGTTATTGGGAACACCCCCTCCAATAACGCTTCAGAATCAAGCTCACACCCCCTTCCCCCACCTAAAAGTGATAAACTACAAAGCTCAAAGGCATGAACGATGCTTCTCCAGCCTCACACGGTCTGTCTATACTTTGGGAAATGAAAGAAACTTTAACCCAACAGCCATGCCACCCATGACTGTGGTGACGTCAGATCTCACAAGCTAATCAGAGCCTGGCTGGGTCCTTGCTTGTCTGAGACACCTCTTTGGGAAACCCAGCTGCTTCAGTAAGTGGGTTTAGTGTCTCACTAGAGTGCCCCTCTCTCTTTTGTCCATGCCTCAAGATGATGATACGAGGCATTGTGCTGCTGGAGGTGAAGTAGAAAACTGAGGTCCTGATCACTCATGTCTGTTTCAAGATCCCATGGCATTTTTTTCAAGAGTAGGGCTGTCCAACCCTAAATGTTAGCCCAGTTCTAACTTGGCAGCCCTAAATCCCCTTTTAGTCTCAGTTGGGTATGGGTATGTCTCCTCTTGGCCAAAACTGTTATTGCTATACTCTGGGTACATCTTCACTACCCGCCGGATCGGCGGGTAGTAATCGATCTATCGGGGATCGATTTATCGCATCTCGTCTAGACGCGATAAATCGATCCCCGAACGCGCTCCCTGTCGACTCCAGAACTCCACCAGAGCGAGAGGCGGAAGCGGAGTCGACAGGGGAGCCGCGGCCGTCGATCCCGCGCCGTGAGGACCCAAGGTAAATCGATCTAAGATATGTTGACTTCAGCTACGCTATTCTCGTAGCTGAAGTTGCATATCTTAGATCGATTTCCCCCCTCTCCCTCCCCCCTGCCCCCCAGTGTAGACCAGCCCTAAGTTAAACAACCTCCAGGCATCACCCCAGAGGTGGTGGCTACATTTCTGCATTCAGACAATGAGCCCAATACAGGGAGAGCGTTTGTAAAGTGCTTTAGAATCCAGCACAATGTCAATGCTAGAGAAATGGAGCAACCCTTTAAACCCTGCCCCTTAAAAATAAAATAGTCCAGTGAGTTGTGTTTCTCTCCTGGCAGGTTCCAGAAGACCAAGGCCTGCCCTGAGGGGGAGAAATGTTGCTATGCTCATGGCCAGGACGAGCTGACCGAGTGGCTGGACCGGCGGGAGGTGCTGAAGCAGAAACTGGCCAAAGCTCGCAAGGACATGCTGCTGTGCCCCAAGGATGATGACTTCGGCAAATACAACTTCCTATTGCGGGACGGCGTATAGTGGGGTGGGGGGACCTGTTGACTGGAGAAACAGAAGCAAGTTTTCAAAGGGTGAGGCTGTGGCAGGGCAACTGAGAGACATGTATCACAAAGAGAACTTTTTTTTTTTCCTTTTTGTTTCAAGATTACCAATATGATTTTCTGGTGGTGAATGAAATTGTGAAAATTGTGACCCGATTCCTCTGTGGCCAGTGAATGCCGAGCTCATAAAGTTTCTTTTCTATCTTCTTTTCTTTCCTTATTCTCTGCCCACCTTCTTTTTTTTTTTTTTTTTTTTTTTTTTTTTTTTTTT